AGGGATTTCCATGGTAGAGGAGGGCAAGAAGGTATTTAAAAGCAGCAGATTGAGTTTGCATAATGAAAACATTAAGGAAATGTGAGGTGGTGATGGTTGTTAACATTTTCAATGAAGTAAATTCCATTGAGCTACATACTTAAAAGTTCATGACTTAGTAAATGTCATGTGGTGTGTATCTTATCACAATAAAGATTTGGAAAAAAAGGAAGAGTGGTCCAGCTAAATTATACACAAATCCCAGGGCAAGGTGAAGTCTGGCAGAAAAATGTTTACAAGACATGCACCTGAAGATGAATTTATTTTTATCACAATTAAATAAAAAGAGAAAAAGGAAAACAAATAGAAAAGCCACATTTATCCTCAAAACCTGTCCCTTTCTTTCCAGCCACATATTAAAGACAGATGCCCTGGAAAGGGGAAACATGAGCTTATCCAACACTTTTGTCCTGCTGGGCTTCTCAGAGTTTCTGTGGCTGGAGAGGCCCCTCTTTGGAGTGGTCCTGGTCTCCTACCTCCTCAGCCTGGTGGGGAACAGCTCCATCATCCTCCTCTCCCTGGTGGACCCCAGACTCCAGACATGCATGTACTTCTTCCTGGACAACCTCTCTCTTCTGGACATCACCTGTACAATTGTGCCTCTGCTGCTGGCCAACCTGTTGGGACCAGACAAGTCCATTACTTCCTCCAGATGCATCACACAGGTCTTTGTTTTCTGCTGGATAATTGCCAGTGAATGTGCTCTGCTGGCAGTGATGGCCATTGATGGCTATGTGGCTGTCTGCCAGCCCCTCTACTATACTCTCATCATGCATGCCTGTGTGTGTGTGAAGATGGCAGCAGTATTCTGGTCCAGTGGGCTGATGAACCTTCTGCTTCAGACCACACTCACTCTCAAGCTCCCTCCCTGTGCGAACAACACCCTGGACCACTTCTTCTGTGAGGTTCCTCACCTCATCAAGTTGGCCTGTGGGGACACCACTGCTAATGAGCTGGCCATCAGTTTGATGACCATCCCATATAAAATGATGTCTTCCCTGCTGCTAGTCATCTTCTACACCTTCATTGCTGGAGCTATACTGAAGCCACCTTCAGTTGAAGGCAGAGAGAAGGTATTCAACACCTGCAGTTCCCACTTGCTGGCGGTCATCATGTACTTTGGGCCAGGCATATAATTTTGCCTCCAGCCGTCAACCAGGAGTTCCTTGGCCAAGTTCATATCCTTCTTCTACTGTGTTATGACCCCATTGCTCAACACACTCATCTACACACTGAGAAGCAAGGATGTGAAAACAGCATGGAGGAGAATACTTCAAAGCCAGGGTAGGCTTTGAAGTATTTAAAGTATTTAAAAGCACACTCTCTGCCTGTCTCCTGAACAACCACAGACACACATCCAGACGTACTGTCAAATCACATCCACTTTCCCAAAGGAGTGACTGAATCCCAGGAAAGTGCTCTCAACTCTCTTGTTCAGTCACCTCAATGTTGTGAAAAACTCCTTGGACTCAGAAGGCCCATCACTGTAACTCTCAGAGTCAGCCTGCCCCTTACTAAGGCCTTCGTAGGTACCTGGTCCAGAGACAAAGGAGCAAGCAGCATGGTTCTTATGTCTTTGAGCTGGTGAGAAATATCCTTTTATTCTTTCTTGCTTCCACCCTTGTTACATTCCTCCATTCTTTCTTCATGCTGATGTTTCTTTTTGTCTATCCTATTTTAACATAACTGTTACTACATATTAATTGTACACTATAATGGCTCTGATTTTAACATTTCGCTGCATGCATGTAATGTGTGTTGATCACACCCATCCCCCTTTTGCCCGCTCCTAACTGTGGTGTCTTCTCCTGAGCACCTTTGCCTTCCCTAACAGTCCATTTTCTCCTATCATGACATCTTTTCCCCTCAGATTAATAATACCACAAATAAATGTGGTATTTGTCTCTTCATGTTCTGCTTGTTTTGCTATACATGATGATGCTGAATTCCATCAATCATCCTGAAAATGAAATTATTTTCATTTATAATAGAATAATAATCCATTGTGTACCACTTATTCTTTTTCCATTCATCCACTGATGGGCATCTAGGATGATTCCATAAGATAGCTAATATAAATGGTTCTATGATAAAAATTGGTATGTAAGTGCCTCTAATGTATGCTAACTTTAGCTACTTTGGGCAATATAACCCAGAATGATAAATCTGGATAATATGGGTGTTACACTTAGTTTTATTTTCATGTTTTTAAGGAGTCTCTATTTTCATTTTACAGTAGCTCTAATAATTTACATTCCCACTAACAATGTTCCATTTGGCATTCATCCTTACCAGCATTTATTATACATTATTTTTTGATCATAGCCATTTAGACTGGGATGAAAAGGAATTTCAATGAAGTTTAGATTTGCATTTCCCAAATGGCTCCTTACATTGACCCGTTGTTAATATAATTATTGGGTATCTATGTTTCTTCTTTTGAAATGTATCTGTTCAAATCTTGGGTCCATTTATTGATTGAGATATTGTTCCTTTCATGTTAAATTTTCTAAGTTCTTTACCTATTCTGGACATTAATCATCAGTGAAATGAACAGCTAGCTAATATTCTCCTATTCTGCAGATTGTCACTTCACTCTGCTTATTGTGTCCCTTGTTGTGCAGAAGCTTTTTAATTTCATGAAATCTCATTTCTCAATTCTTGCTTGTATTTCCTGATCTATTGGACTCTGTTCAGGAAATCAGTGTCTGTACCAATTTCTTGAAGTGTTTCCTCTGAGTTTTCCTCCATTGCTTTCAGAGGTTCAAGTCTTACAGTAAGGTACTTGGTCCACTTTTGAGTTCCTGTTTTCACAGGGTGAGACATAGAGATCTAGTTTCAATCTTCTACAAGTTGTACCCAGTTTCTCAGTATCATTCGTTGAAAGAGGCTCTTTTCTTCAATGTGTGTTTTAGCTGCTTTTTGATGAACCAATAGCTATAGATGTTGGGCTTATTCCTACTTTATGTATTTTTATACATTGGGTAATGCCACTCCATTTGAAGGAGGGAATGGAAAGGAGATTTTAAAAACAAATGATGGCATGTTATCTACATGCAACAAATCCCCACAAGGAATGTTATTATGTACTGCAAACATGTACTAAGAATTACAATTAAAAAATAAACCAAAAAATCAATTCTCTATAGCATATTTTGAAATCAGGTGTTGTGGTGCTTCAAGCATTGTGCTTGCTCAAGGCTGCTTTGCTATTCCAGGTCTTCCATATCAATTCTTTCATATGAATTTTAACATGTGTTTCTCATTCTGTGAAGAATATCACTGATGTCTTCATAATCACATTTGATAGTGTGGCCATTTTAATCAGGCTATTAATCCTGATTGAGGATCTGAGGAGAAAGCCTGTTAAAGTTCCAAGAGTACTTAAGCTGAAAATAGAGAAGAAAGATGTCTAGTAAGACAAAGGAAAAAGAGGCAGAGCCAGAAACAGAAGTCAGACACAGAACAGAAAACAGAAGTGTGGCCAGTGTCACTAAGGTGGAGAGGATCACGCAGTTAAGTTTGGCAAGGAGGGGCCCTGAGCAGTGTTGGCAGATAATGAAGCAAAGCTTCAAACAGCTGCTTATCCATGTGGAAGGTCTATGCTGATGATCACTGTTGTCCCTCCAATTACTGGGCACCTTTAAAAAGGAAGCATCCCTTTGTTGTTGCCAAAATGTTGCAACCCTCAGTAGAGGGTTCTTTTTTCAAATGTAATCAGTAATTGGCAAAGTTCAGCTCTGATAACAGTTTGCTATGCTGATGCCAGGTAAGGCTGGATGCCAACAGTTGTCTCAGCCACTGGTGCCACAGGTGTCCAGAACAGCTGGCTCCAGATGCCTTAGGTCAAGTTCTGGGTACTAAGCTCTACTGCTGCTCTTTCTCTGTGACAATTGCTCCACCCACAATGCTCAGTATAAGAATCCTAAAGATATTTAGAACCCATCTTATCTGAAAAATAAATCATGAGCAGTGTTGCAGGACCACCACAGCAGGTCTTCCTTTAAACAATGACTGTGCTGCAGCAATCAGGGCCAGTATACTGGAGAAATTCCTCAGAGAGTAACCAGAGAAGTGTGTAGGGAGAGTACAGGCCTGTGATTTGTTTGAACTTTGGCCAGCTGATTGGTCTACACACAGGTGTGAGATTGGTCCAGTGTATTCAGGGTTCCAGGATAGGAGTAGCTGTCATGCAGCAGTGTGGTGAGGGTAAGGCCAAGTGTGCTGTTAGACTGACAACAGTTGCATCTCTGGGACAGGAGGTTAGGGCTGAAATCAGGGAAGCTTCAGAAGGCTAGCTGTGTTCATCCCCGGTACTTGAGGTCCAGGAAGTTGGATATGTTAACAGTGGGCCCAGAACACTCCCTCCTTGATCCTGGCCACATTAGGGTGACCCCTTCTTCAAAGAGGTAGCAGTGCTTCTGAAGGGCCAGGACAAGGTCAGGGGCACTGCAGCTCACAACCAAACTGGATGGGTCTCAGTCCAACTGCCATGAAGGAGTGTGGATGCTGAACAGTCAGGTGGCCAGCCAGGCAAGTTATTTCAGTTCACTGGGGCAGGGGGAGAAGAAAACCAAAAGGAAGGGGTCAGACAACCACCAGCCAAGACATACATTCAGACAAGCATGGGAAAATCAGGAAAATCAGGTGCTTGGTTATTGTCTCACATATACCTGGACCCCAGCAAATATCCAAGCCACTCCATAACCCAGGTTGCAAACAAGTGTGCTTGGGAGCAGTCAGACTTGTGATTCCTGGACTGAGGGAACATGGAGACTGAGCAACTTGCTGTCCTCTTCTTGGTGCTCTCAGATATGGCTCCCTCTGAGCACCTCAAAAGATGCGTCTTGCTCTTTGTTACACAAAGGACCACTGTTCAGAAATGGAATCTGTCAGCACCAAGATCTTGGTACTACTAGCCTCTAGAACTGGAAGAAATAAATTTGTGTTCTTAATGCCACCTAAGATGTGACATTTGATATGCCAGCACACTGTGGCAGACCCCCCTGGCCAGGCTTAGTGCATGCTACAATATGGAGCAGGTATTTTCCCCCATATTTGGCTACATTGTGTTCAGAGCAGAACCAAAGACTACATGAATAACAGAAGCATCGCAAATGGCCTGTGGGCTACCATAGCTCCTCTGCCACCATCTGTGATGGAGACCTAATTCCTGTTCTGTGAACAGGTCTCCTAAGTGAGCTAACTGTGGCTGAGGACTCTGTTGCTTTGAACAACATTCCATTCCTACAGCTGCCTCTCCATTAGTTGTTTTACTAACTTACTAGATATCCACAACCTACCTTTTATCTGCTCTGATCTTTTCGGAAGGATGCCTTATTAAGGCCCTTTTACAATCCTGCCTGTGTCATCTGATATCAACAAATGGCACAGGTATACCCCTAGCCTATTTTACTCATGCTTGTATAATCAATAAATACCAGCAATCCTGGTTGCTTAGGGTCCTAGCTACATGCTTGGCTTGGTTCAACCCAGTTCACTGTTTTGCAGTGAACCTTTGTGTTTTATGTTCACCTTGCATTGTAATGCATTGCAGGAGATCAGGGTTTGAGGCCAGGCTCCCCAAAAGTCTGCTGTGTAAGAGACTCTTCATAAACTGTAGGTTCTTCTCCCACTATTTGAACCTGCAGCCTGGCTATATGGCAATGCAAATGAGGCATTCCCAAGGCTCCCTGTGAACTGATACAGCCCACAGACACAGACAAGATGTGCTGTCTGACAAGAATCTCTTATCTAAGGCAGCACCTGGAGTCTTGTACTAAGACATGGACAGCTTAGCAGCACAGGAGAGGATCCACTGCAGCCATTTGAAGAAGAGAGAGCAGAGGGCTCCTCATTGACAGACCACCCAGGGCTCTGAATATCCCAGTTTCTAAGGTGGTCCACATGATCTGCAGTTTGACATTTGCTTGTGCTTATATGTTTGAAAGAAATTATTTCATTTAGTTTTGCAAAACATTGGCAGAAATTCCTGCAATTTAGTTGTTGTTAAGTGTCTGACAAATGCCCCAGCACACAAAAGTATGGCAAAGGGTGGGATATTTGGTAGTTTGGACTAGGTAGCGAACTTCTGGTTACGTGGTCATGTTCCACTAGGAAGCACTAGGTCTATAAC